GTGGACTTCAACTCCCAGAGTTCCTCAGCCAGCTGGCTGAGGAACTCTGGGAGTTGAAGTCCACAAGTCTTAAAAGTTGCCAAGGTTGGAGACCCCTGTTCTATCTAGGCCAATCCTCTGCTGAAGCAGGAGACTCTTCCAGACAAGTAGGCTGTCCAGTCTCTTTAAAGCCTCCAGTGGTGGAACACCTACAGCTTCTGAAATTCGGACCAGGTTATTGTACTGTCCACAAAGGATATACCAAAGATCTATAGACTAAACTGCGAAATCAATAATAAAAACGAAGGTATTCTTTATTGCTACCGGGAAAACCGTTCAAGCATCCTGCAATAAACTTGATAATCAGCATGCTAAATGTGAGCGTGCATACAAGTGTCTTTTACCTACAACCATGTTTTTTGCCAGGGACAATAAGTTGGTGGTTAGCTCTATTTGAAAGGGGGATTATTATTTCCTGTTAAAAGCTAAGTCAACTGCTACTTCATTGAAATATATGCCTTGTACAGTATAAGAAATGCAGGTTGCTTGTTACAGATCAGCCTTCCGCAGTAAGTTTGAATGCAATATTTTTCAATAGATTTAACTTACATATTCAAGAGATTATTGCAAACTACAGTCTATGTAAATATGAAGCAGTGTATATGAATAGTACTGTATTTAGGCAGCAATCGGTTACTGGCCAGACCATTCAGTCATAATTTATACTTTACACTTACAAAGAACAAGGTTCAAACATTTTCACTAACCTTATATTGAGAGGACAAATTGAGGACCTTTGGATTTTTTACTAATTAAATATATACTCTATCAGAGAAGTATCCTCTCTCAAATTCAGACACATGACACACGTGTTGGAATTACATATGGTTTTCTTTCTCACTGCATTGCAGTATTACTTGATTGTAGTAATGCAATGATATTTGCTATTGGTGCATTGAATTACCATTAATGTCCTTTTTACATCTCAGTAAGATGATGGGAAAAATAGATTCTCATGGTTTTATTTCAAGAAAGTAATCCTGACCATATTTTCTGGTTGTATTTTTGAAGCCAAATGTTTATTTCTTGATAGTATGGTGTTACTTTTTCTGTCTCTTACACTTTGTTTTTTTGTTGATGTGTTCATTAGGAACTTAGTTTTTACTAAGAGCCACTGTATCCAGTGATGACCTCCTTTTACCAGTCCACAATAGAAAGCGTCCTCACATATTGCATTACAGTGTGGTATGCTGGCTTGACAGTGTGGTTAGAAAGACATTACAGAAGGTGGTGAGTACAGCACAGAACATCATGGGCTGTTCCCTGATACCACTAGATGACATTGCTAGCGCTTGCTGCCTAAGAAGAATGAGGAAAATTCTCAGGGATGACTCACATCCTCATCAGCACTTCTTCACTCTCCTACCTTTGGGTAGGAAATATAGAAGCATAGCCAGCTGCACCAACAGGCTGAGGAACAGTTTTGACCCATGGACTGTCAGACTTCTAAACAGAAAACAACTTCATGTCAACATAGCATGATAGGCTTGTAGGGCTGGCGCGTTGTGCAACAAGGTAACATAGTGTAATAAGATTGGGACTGGGTTAGGGACTTCTGTCCTCACTGTGAGTTGTGTTGGGGGTGTATGTGCATGAAGGGAGGCTCAGCCAATCTCATTGTACACATGTACACTGGCAATAAAGGTAATAAGTTCCATCTCAAACTTCTTAAGCTTAAATTTCAGAGACAGAAAAAGAAAAGATAACAGTATATTACTATCAGGAAATAAACATTTGGCTTCAAAAATACACCCTGAAAATATGTTCAAGATTATGAAGTTACTTTTTAGGTGTCTTCTAATGTGTGTTAGGTTGATAACCTACATTATAATTTTTTTAAAAAAATCCAAGATTCTAAATGGTGAAGTGGCATTTTGACAGTGCCCTGAAGCAATTTCCTGTTAAGATAGTTTAGTAGATATATTTTGCTTTTATGCAGGAAATCTATTTGTCATATCTGAAATTGGGAAACACTTCCTGCAGGTTACATTAGTTAACGCCTCTGAAGAGTAAAATAAGGTCATTGCACCTGCACTGAACTATATTTTGTTCCATGCTTTTTTTCTTCTAGTGGTACTCTAATCTGATTAATAAAATGTAGGTATATCAGGTTTAACATCCTGCTTTGCTAAAGGGAATTTGCATGGTTCAGTTGTATTTGTTGCTGTATGAGAAGCTTTCAAGATACTGCATGAAATACAAACTTGCCACTGTGCATTTTGAACATAGTGAATGAGAGCAAAAACATGTATTAACTACTTGTGTATTTAATAATTATGTGATGGATTGAAATGTCAATTTCCATTGGAATGAAGTCAGACCAAATGCTTTATCTGCTGGATTTCTTATTTGTTTCAGATACAAGCAACCTGCTGAAAATGTAAAATTCAAGTAACTACTAACAATTCCCTTTATTAGTATTACTCAAAAGAGTCAACTGAAAAAAACAATACTTCAGCCACTCTTTTTCTAAGACTTTAGTCTTCAGAAGATAGATCGCATTATTTAATATTTTTAATTGTTGTCCATCAACTTCAAAAGCATTTGTAAGTATTTGTTTTATGTTCATACTTGAAATGTAGATATTTATCCATACAATTATCCCTAATGTTTTAGTATTGCAGTGGGGTTAGTGTACTGCTGATAAACTCACAAACCAACTGAAACTTATTTTTTTTTAAAATTTCCTATGATTCAATTTTATAAATATTCCCTGATCATATAATGTGGCAAAGGTCTGTTGTTTAAAAAAGTCTACTAACTGAACTGGAAGCTTTAAAAACAACATAAACAGGTTTTACTCTGATTAGATTTAACGAACTAGTATTTCTGGTTTACTTGTAGAATTCCATGTGTGTCATATAAAAATTGAAAGTCTAAACCTGTATTGGTATTCTATACAAAGAAATCAATTTAGAACTTGTCATTTTCTTCAATAAATAAAAATAAAAATTAATTAAAATTATGTTTATTGTGATTCAGAACTGGAGAGACTCATCCCTCCAAATTGGAGCTGGGGATATAAAAATCCAGATGAGTAATAGAAGGTATCAAAGACATACAGAAAACTTATACTTTTTGCTAATACCTTGTGATTGCCTAGCATCTTGCAGCTTAGACCTGATAACCCAACTGCTTCAGCATATAAAACAAACCAAGATATAGACTCAATGAAGGAAACACTGACAGCTTTAAAATGATGTAGTACTTAATGGGTAATATATTTCCTATTCAGAATGTGCCCTGAATGTGCTCTCTTGCTTTCTGTAACCTAAAAGAAGCCTCAACAAAAGGATATCACTGCATGGATAACATCAATATTAAATAGATAATATACTTTGCAAAGAAAGATGAAGTTCTGTTGATTCAGCAATGAAAACCAGGGGGTGACTGTGGCTTAGCTTGTGAACCTTTCTTGTGAAATCACAAACTAATGCAAGCAAAATCACACCAACAAGTTATGCCTCAGCAATATTCCATACAATTATACAATGAAGTTGAAGAAGAGACAATAGCTTAGTTTTGGTTAGAGTGCTAGAGTGCTGTGTTGAAATTTATGATACCTCCAAAGATGAAGCCAATAAAAATATTCCAAATGCAAAAAGTAAACAAAGGGAAAATGGCTGCCTCTTGGTATATTTAAAATAGCTGAAGAAAGACAGAAAACAAAAGGCAAGGGAACAAAAAAAAAACTTTGTCCAATTACTTGCTGAATTCCAGAGAAAAGCAAAAAGAGATAAAGAGAAACGTTTAAATAATCAATGGAATCAAGCTGGATAGTTAAGAGCTTAA